TATGTGGGTGGATTGGTGCTTAGGTACTGTTCTTACTTGAACAAACATCCTACTTATGATTAACCCTCCCGAAAGCATCCGCAACTATGAGGAAAGTATTAAGAATAAATTCTAACCATAGCATTAAACTTTTGGATCCAATCGGTCCCTTACGAAATAGCGCATCAACGGGGGGTTTAAGCTTCTGTCACTCTCGCAACCCACCATCTAATTACGAATCCACAATGCATTCCCTTAGGCCCAAATATGGTGAAGTGTCATGTAGTCGACGTTCACATGACACTACTAAGGGAATAACAACATACATACTATCAAAATATCAAACACATATCAAGTTCACATGATTACTTGCAACATGACTTCTCCCGTGACCTCAAGAACAAAAGTAACTACTCACAAATGATAAACATGTTCATGATCAGAGGAGTATTAAATAGCATAATGGATCTAAACATATAATCTTCCACCAAATAAACCATATAGTAATCAACTACAAGATGTAATCAACACTACTAGTCACCCACAAGCACCAATTTATAGTTCCGGTAACAAGACTGAACACAAGAGATGAACTAGGGTTTGAGAGGAAATGGTGTTGTTGAAGATGTTGGTGGAGATTGCCCTCCCCAAGTTGGGAGAGTTGTTGGTGATGATGATGACGATGATTTCCCCTTCCGGGAGGGAAGTTCCTCCGGTGGAATCGCTTCGCCAGAGGGCAAAAGTGCTCATGCCCAAGTTCCGCCTCGAGGCGGCGGCGCTTTGTACCAAAAGTCCTCTCCTTATTTTTTTCTAGGTCAAAATGACCTATATACCAGAAGATGGGTACCGGAGGTGGGCCGAGGAGGCCACAACCCACCAGGGCGCGCCTGGGGGGCCTGGCGCGTCCAGGTGGGTTGTGCCCACCTGGTGGCCCCCCTCTGGTGTTTATTGGCTCAAGTATTTATTAAATAATCCATAAAAAATCTCCATGAAGTTCCAGCTCATTTGGAGTTGTGCAAAATAGGTGGCCTGACGTAGCTTTCACAGGTCCAGATTTCCAGCTGCCGGAATTCTCCCTCTTGGTGTGTTCCTTACAAATTATGAGAGAAAAGGCATTAGAATTACTCCAAAAAGCATTATTATGGATAAAACCATTATAAATAACAGTAAAAAACATGATGCAAAATGGGCGTATCACACAACACCATCACCGTCACCACGCCGTCGTGCTGACGAAACTCTCCCTCGACACTTTGCTGGATCAAGAGTTCGAGGGACGTCATCGAGCTGAACGTGTGCTAAACTCGGAGGTGTCGTACGTTCGGTACTTGATCGGTTGGATCACGAAGATGTTCGAATACATCAACCGCGTTAACCTTTCGGTCTACGAGGGTACGTGGACACACTCTCCCCCTCTCGTTGCTATGCATCTCCTAGATAGATCTTGCGTGATCGTAGGAATTTTTTGAAATTGCATGCTACGTTCACCAACACCTACATGGGCCATAGGGGAGAGAGAGGGGAGCCTGCAAGGGGTGCCCCCCATGGGCTGTCCGAATTGGACAAGGGGAGGGGGCGCGGCCCCCCTTTCCTTCCCCCTCTCCCTCTCCTTCCCTTTTCCCCCTCCAAAATAAAGGAAGGGGGCAACTAGGACTAGGAGCCTAGTCGGTTCCTCCCCCCCTCATGGCGCGCCCCCTATGGCCAGCCTCCTCCCTCTCCTCCTTTATATACGGGGGCAGGGGGCACCCCAAAGCACATCAGTTGTTCTCTTAGCCATGTGCGGTGCCCCCCTCCATAGTTTACTCCTTCGGTCATATCGTCGTAGTGCTTAGGCGAAGCCCTGCGTGGATCACATCACCATCACCATCACCATGCCATCATGCTGATGAAACTCTCCCTTGACACTTTGCTGGATCAAGACGAGGGACGTCATCGAGCTGCACGTGTGCTGAACTCGGAGATGTCGTACGTTCGGTACTTGATCGGTTGGATCGCGAAGACGTTCGACTACATCAACCGCGTTAACCTAATGCTTCCGCTTTCAGTCTACGAGGGTACGTAGACACACTCTCCCCCTCTCGTTGCTATGCATCTCCTAGATAGATCTTGCGTGATTGTAGGAAACTTTTTGAAATTGCATGCTACGTTCCCCACAACATGGTCAAAGGGCATTACTTGTGATCCCAAGTTCTTTGAGTCGGATCGAGCCAAGTTGGTGACGATCATGTGGGCTATATGGACTTCTCGAAACAATACAAATCATGATAAAGGTGGTCTTGACCCGATACAGTCCATGAAAATGACCAGAGATACTTTAGCTTTGCTTGATCTACCTAAGGAACATGCTCGTTTGCTTCCAGGTCATGGTTGGAGGCCACCCGAGGAGGGTGAGATCAAGATAAACACTTATGGCAGTGTTGCTTTGGAAGCTCGAAGAGGAGGGGTGGGAGGAATCGCTCGTTCCCTCTCCACTTTTAGAGCTGTGTGGTGTAAACCTTATCAGGGGATTGCTGACCCCCTCATCTCTGAAGCCCTAGCAATCCGGGACGGCGCCATTTTTGCAAAGCTCAGGGGCTACAAGAAAGTCGTGATGGAATCCGACTGCTTGGAGGTCATTAATCTCTGGAACTCACGTCATGATGATAGGACAGTTGTGGCGCCTATCCTATCCGAAATATTGGAACACTCTACTAGTTTTAGGTCTTTTTGTATTCAACATATTCCTAGATTAGCCAACTACCCTGCTCACCTATGTGCTAGACATGCAAGCACATTGGATGTAACAGAATGTTGGTTTGACTCTGTACCTAGCATCATTGTAACTAGCCTTCTTGCAAATTCTGCAGAGGCTTCGTTTGTTGAATAAAGCTCCAAATATTTCCCGTCAAAAAAAAGATGGGGACGGCTAGTCATGGCCCGGCCAAGGGCTAAACATGCCTGGCACGACATGGTTTCTACACGGCCATGTCGTGTCGGACCGTGTGCCATGCCCTTAGACCCAGGCACAACCTCTTTCTAGTAAACGGGTTGGCTCGACACACGTTTAACCTGCATGGTCGTGCTTTTCGATCTAATTGATTGTTTTGGGGGCTATTTGGATTGATTTCGGTGCATCGTGTCGTGCCTGCATGTCGAATTGGCTTTACAGCCCAGGCACAGCCCGAAGTGTGTCGCGTGCCGGCACAACTAGTTTATGCATGTGACGGACCGAGCATGCATGACAACGGACCGCCACATGACATGCGACCCATGTGGCCAAGTTTGTCTTCAACAGGCTGCCCATAAATTGGCACTATCCGTTCGTGAATGCATCCTGATGGGTCCATGGACGGATATGGGAGCCGGCCACCCAACAACATGTCTAAAACATCAGCCTACATTTCAGATGAAAATGAAACTAAAAGGATAAATTTCATGCAAATCGAACGAATTTCATGCAAACTGGACCTAATTCATGCAAAGTTGGACATATTACATTAAATCGGACGATATTTAACATGTTCAACTAAATGGTTTAATACCTAAAAAACTAAACGAGGTATCGTATGATAACCTCGTACGCATGGACTCCCTGGCCGACGGGACCTTCTTCGTCGGAGTCGCCATGGCCCTTCCAGCGACAGAAGGACACGTAGGCGCAGCGGCATCCCTAATTGGCCGCTCGACTTCCTCCACCGTCGCGTGCATGACTACGGACGTTACCCCAATTCGCCTGCCCCTCGTCTTGCCATTGCGTGCGACGAGAACGGCGGCACATAGCGAATCGTCCGTGCCAATCGTGACAAGTTGGTCACTAAGGCGCTGCCGTCAGCTTGTGGACATCTCTGTGATGATCCTAGATAGGTCCTCCACCCAGGCCAATGCAAGGCCAGCAAGGGCCTAGTTCGAGGCAATGTCTGACATCACGAATGCGGCCTGGCGCTTCATGCTGCACCATCGACTCGGCCTCCGTCATGGTGTTGCGCGATGACATGTTGCCGCCTCCGTGGTCGAGGTAATGCAAGAGGCCCACACGTGTTCGCAAGCCCCAGGGATGGCTCCTTCACAACAACAGGGTGGTGATGGTCGTGCCCTCTCCTTGTCGCGCGAAAGATGTCTCGGCGGTGATGTCGACCGATCTAAGCCGCCTAATGTGTTGCGCGGCGACGAGGGTAGCTCCTCCTTCATCCCTTACGCGGAGTCCAATTTAGACGCCACAGTAGCACAGGAAGGGCGGCTCCTCCTTCACCTCCTATTTAGGCGGCGACAATGGCGGGGCCAATCCACAGTCACAAAGCAACTAGGACCTCCAGCTGCCACTGGAACTTCAATGATGGCACAATCAAGAATGATCATGCTTTGGCCCATGGATGTTTCCCATAGTATTTGGCTCTAAATTTGGCTAACACAGTTCTCTGTTAAATTCTACAATTTGGTAAGAGCAATATTGTGCAGCAAAGCTGAAAAAAATATTTCCATGATTCAAAGCGGCTAAAAAATATTTCCATGATTCAAAGCGGCTAAAAAAATATTTCCATGATTCAAAACAACTGAAAAAATATTACTTGGATAACCTTGTTCCGAATGAAAAATTAAACAAACGCACATGTATCAGTTATTATTTAAAAGAACTCAAACAAGCAGCAAATGTACGCCAAAATGACCAGTATCATAGTCACTTTCTTTTGCGGTGACAGTATTATAGTCACAACTGGAGAGTAGATCAACAAATCTGCATTGTAACTTACTCTGCAGTATCAATTCCACAGGAGCTTGCACAATCTACTCAAAGATACAATACTAAATACTAATTGAGCATCATTGTCTTGCTTAAGCTTCACAACTGCAAAGAGAACATACTAAACTGACCGGTGATTACATAACTTTTGTCCTTGTTTCAACTGCCACACTGTAAATTAAACATACTAACATTGACCATGGTAACTACTTAGACAGTCCAGCTTGGAAGCAAAACACTTGGAGCGCCATCTATGCAACAAGCCAAGGGCAGCAGATCCTTGTTACAGGATAACAGTGGGTCCTCATGGCGATGGCAGTTTGCCCATAGCACGATCTGAAAAGATACAATTGATTAAGCTTATAACCATGCTGTAGCTCTTTATTCCGACTAGTTAGGTATGAAATCTAAAATAATAACATTATTCAGATTTACTCCCTCCGTCCCATAATATAAGAGTTTTTTTTTACACTAGTGTATTATACTATGGGACGGAGGAAGTACTATATCTAAGCCAATGTCAAGAATTGTCGATAAAATTTGAATGAAACAGGTTCTCCAAGGAGAAGCTGAAACAAACAAACAACTTGAAGATTACATATACTCCCTCTGTAAACTAATATAAGAGCGTTTAGATCACTACTTTAGTATTCTAAACACTCTTATATTAGTTTACGGAGGGAGTACTAGGCAGTAGGGGCAAGGAGATGCATACAAGATTACAGCCTTGCGCAACCTGCCTATGAGCAAGACTGCAAGAGCAGCTCAGAGCATATGGCATTGCAAATATTCACACATCATAATTCTCAAACGTGCATCAATACGTACCTGAAGTGCAGAAGCTCATGTAGGGAACAACAATGACGTTGTAGTTTCTTGACCTGCAGGTGTATACCTTACGGACATGGCCTGACTTGAGCTCCATGGAGAATACCGTGTTGCCTGTCCTAACGAAAATGAGTCCGTGGCCGTCCGCGAAGCCAACGACCTCAGGTGGCGTCGAGAGGCCACGAGTGCGGAGCATTGTCTTGTGCTGGATAACTCTGCGCTGCACCCATTCCACCTCTCCGTCGGCGCCATCCTTCATCGACCAGAGGTAGAGCGTGCCATTCCGCACGCCGGCGAACCCCAGCCTGCCATCCTCCGCTTTCACGAGGACGGTGCAAGAGTAGTATTCGTGCTGGGACGACGGCCAGATCACCGAGAGTTCCTGCCTGACGATGTCATACCCCAACATTTTGAAATTGAGGTACGGGTCGCAGGTGAAGTAGAGCGTGTTCCCCACAAGGACGCTCGGTCGCCCGTCAACAAACGCCGGCTGCTCGATCTCAACTCGCTGGCTCCAGGCACCGGCCTCCGACGGGTAGGTGCAGGCGAACGTGATGCCACGTTCGCCGCATCCCACGAAGGCGACACGGAAGGGTCCGCCATGACAGTCGAGGTGGTCGCAGCCGACCGCGGCGCAGAGCACGGCCGCGTTGAAGCCGAGCGCGTAGGCCGGCACGCGGGGGATCTTGAACTCCTCACCCGTGACGGGGTCCCAGACGACGTGGCGCTGCCCTGAGCGTGTGGAGGAGCACGCGGCCGTGGCGGGCGTCCAGCACATTCAGGCCGGGGCGGTCGGAGGCGGCGGGGCGGAAGGAGGAGGTGGGGACGAGCTGGGCCATGCCTTGGTAGTGCTGCTTCAGGTTGAGGACGAAGCCGAGCATGGGAGGTGTTCGATGGAATGCGCGGTAGCGGCGGAGGTACGCCGGGTCGGTGAGGAGGTGGCGCCAGCGCCAGCAGACGAGGGAGGCGCGCACAAGGCGCGCGGGGTCGTCCGGAGGGAGGCGGAGGAGGATCTCCGGGGCCATGTCGGCGATTGTCCGAGGCGCCGGCGCCGGTGCCGGCACGAGGCGAGGCCGTTTCGGCACGGGCGTGTCCATGGGTGGTTGCTTGCTTCGTTTGGTGCTGGTTTCCCGGCGCTACGGTTAGGTTTTAAGCAGGCTAGTGGCTAAGAGGACGGCGACCGGAATGGGAGGGTCACGCACGCGGCTTGCGGAGGGCGACGGTGGCGGCGTGGGAGGGGAAGTTGGCTCGAGAAGTGCGCGGGCCGGGAGTTGGCGCGTGATTTTAACACCGTTTGGCGGGCAGCAAATTCAAGCACTGCCGCCAACCAGAATATTGTGCAATCTGCCGCTTGGCGCCTACCGCGGATCAGGGCACACTAGTGGAGGAGCACGCGGCCGTAGCTACTGGTGCGGCTCCCATATCGGGCCTCTTCGAAGCCATCACTTTTTTCTGGACAAACTTTTTTTTCTTTTTTCTTTTTTTGAAACTACAAACTTTTTTTTCAAGAGTACGCCAATGACGTATCATATTTTTATAAAAGGCAGAACAATATTTACAAGAGACCAAACTGAGATGCGAACATTCAAGATGGCAAACACCACTCCGACCCCAACCCAAACTCACGCGGTTACATTCTCATGAAAGGATCTAGACCTCCAACACCGAGCCCTGCACTAGTCCAATCTACGATCTCAGAACGAATTGACGCTACCAGTTGGGGAGGTGTCTTCTGATCACGCGGCCTGTTGAACACCCTAGCGTTACGCTGCTTTCACAGAGCCCATGCCGTCCCTATGACAAAGGAGTCGAATCCTCGTCGCACTCTGCCTGTTAACCTCAATCTTTGCTCCAGCCACCATTCGAAAAAGGTAGTGTTGGTGGTCGGCACGTGGATGTTAAGCTGGAAAGAATCGAGGCATAGGTGCCACACCTCTCGTGTGTAGACGCAATGCACCAAGATGTGATCCGCGTTATCTTCTTCTTGAAGGCACGTGAACCACAACGACGTCCCATCTTGGAGGCTTGTCTGGCTCGCCTGTCAGAAGTCCAAAGCCGATACTGCACCGCAAGCCAAGCAAAAAATTTGCACCGTAAGGGTGCCCAGCTCCTCCAAATGCCTTCTGTCGTTGCCCATGCATAACCTTTGGTAGACCGACCTTGCTGTGTAAGTTCCTGAGATGTCTGCCGGCCAAGAAAACTGGTCCGGACTCTGATCATTAGTCGGGACCGTGGCGATGGCTAGGCATAGATTGGCCACCTGCATGTGCGCAGTGAAGGAGATGTCGCCCTGAACTGATGGGGAACGTAGCAGAAATTCAAAATTTTCCTACGTGTCACCAAGATCTATCTATGGAAAAACTAGCAACGAGGGGAAGGAGAGTGCATCTACATACCCTTGTAGATCGCTAAGCGGAAGCGTTCAAGAGAACGGGGTTGAAGGAGTCGTACTCGTCGTGATCCAAATCACTGGAGATCCTAGCGCCGAACGGACGGCACCTCCGCGTTCAACACACGTACAGCCCGGTGACGTCTTCCATGCTTTGATCCGGCAAGGAGAGAGGGAGAGGTTGAGGAAGACTCCATCCAACAGCAGCACAATGGCGTGGTGGTGGTGGAGGAGCGTGGTACTCCAGCAGGGCTTCGCCAAGCACCGCAAGAGACGAGGAGGGAGAGGGGTAGGGCTGCGCCAAGAAGGAGAGGAACTCGTGTGTCTTGGGCAGCCCAAACCTCAAGTATATATAGGGGGAGGGGAGGGGCTGCGCCCCCACCTAGGGTTCCCTCCCTAGGGGTGGCGGTAGCCCCCAAATCCCATCTGGGTGGCGGCCACAAGGGGGAGAGGGGGAGGCGCACCTGGGGTGGGCCTTAGGGCCCATCTGCCCTAGGGTTTGCCCCCCTTCCCTCTTGGAGGAGCCTTGGGCCTTGGTGGGGGGGGGCGCACCAGCCCACCTGGGGCTGGTCCCCTCCCACACTTGGCCCATGCAGCCCTCCGGGGCTTGTGGCCCCACTTGGTGGACCCCCGGGACCCTCCCGGTGGTCCCGGTACGTTACCGATAAAACCCGAAACTTTTCCGGTGATCAAAACAGGACTTCCCATATATAAATCTTTACCTCCGTACCATTCCGGAACTCCTCGTGACGTCCGGGATCTCATCCGGGACTCCGAACAACATTCGGTAACCACATACAAACTTCCTTTATTACCCTAGCGTCATCAAACCTTAAGTGTGTAGACCCTACGGGTTCGGGAACCATGCAGACATGACTGAGACATTCTCCGGTCAATAACCAACGGCGGGGTCTGGATACCCATGTTGGTTCCCACATGTTCCATGATGATCTCATCAGATGAACCATGATGTCGAGGATTCGATCAATCACGTATACAATTCCCTTTGTCTAGCGGTATTGTACTTGCCCGAGATTCGATCGTCGGTATCCCGATACCTTGTTCAATCTCGTTACTGGCAAGTCTCTTTACTCGTTCCGTAACACATCATCCCGTGATCAACTCCTTGGTCACATTGTGCACATTATGATGATGTCCTACCGAGTGGGCCCAAAGATACCTCTCCGTTTACACGGAGTGACAAATCCCAGTCTCGATTCGTGCCAACCCAACAGACACTTTCGGAGATACCCGTAGTGCACCTTTATAGCCACCCAGTTACGTTGTGACGTTTGGCACACCCAAAGTATTCCTACGGTATCCGGGAGTTGCACAATCTCATGGTCTGAGGAAATGATACTTGACATTAGAAAAGCTTTAGCATGCGAACTACACGATCTTGTGCTATGCTTAGGATTGGGTCTTGTCCATCACATCATTCTCCTAATGATGTGATCCCGTCATCAACGACATCCAATGTCCATGGTCGGAAACCGTAACCATCTATTGATCAACGAGCTAGTCAACTAGAGGCTTACTAGGGACATGGTGTTGTCTATGTATCCACACATGTATCTGAGTTTCCTATCAATACAATTCTAGCATGGATAATAAACGATTATCATGAACAAGGAAATATAATAATAATCAATTTATTATTGCCTCTAGGGCATATTTCCAACAGTCTCCCACTTCAATTGGTGTAGGTGCCACAAGTAGGTGGTACTATCATTACTATCTTATATCTTTTGGCATGAACATGTGTATCACTACGATCGAGATTCAATAAACCATTCATTTTAGGTGCAAGACCATTGAAGGTATTATTCAAATAAACAGAGTAACCATTATTCTCCTTAAATGAATAACCGTATTGTGATAGACATAATCCAATCATGCCTATGCTCAACGCAAACACCAATCTTGATGGTAGAGGGAGCGTACGATATTTGATCAACCTTGGAAATACTCCCAACACATATCGTCATCTCACCTTTTAGCTAGTCTCCGTTTATTCCGTAGCCTTTTGTTTCGAGTTACTAACACTTAGCAACCGAACCGGTATCTAATACCCTGGTGCTACTAGGAGTACTAGTAAAGTACACATTAACACAATGTATATCCAATATACTTCTATCGACCTTGCCAGCCTTCTCATCTACCAAGTATCTAGGGTAATTCTGCTCCAGTGGCTGTTCCCCTTATTACAGAAGCACTTAGTCTCGGGTTTAGGTTCAACCTTGGGTTTCTTCACTAGAGCAGTAGTTGATTTGCCGTTTCATGAAGTATCCCTTTTTTGCCCTTGCCCTTCTTGAAACTAGTGGTTTCACCAACCATCAACAATTGATGCTCCTTCTTGATTTCTACTCTTGTGGTGTCAAACATTGTGAATATCTCAAGGATCATCATATATGTCCCTGATATATTATAGTTCATCACGAAGCTCTAGCAGCTTGGTGGTAATGACTTCGGAGAAACATCACTATCTCATCTGGAAGATCAACTCCCACTCGATTCAAATGATTGTTGTACTCACACAATCTGAGCACAAGCTCAACAATTGAGCTTTTCTCCCTTAGTTTGCAGGCTAAGAAAATCGTTGGAGGTCTCATACCTCTTGACGTGGGCACGAGCCTGAAATCCCAATTTCAGCCCTCGAAACATCTCATATGTTTCGCGATGTTTCAAAACGTCTTCGGTGCCTCAACTCTAAACCGTTTAACTGAACTATCACGTAGTTATCAAAATGTGTATGTCAGATGTTCGCAACATCCACAGACGACGTTCGTGGTTCAGCACACTGAGCGGTGCATTAAGGACATAAGCCTTCTATGAAGCAATGAGGACAATCCTCAGTTTACGGACCTAGTCCGCATAATTGCTACTATCAACTTTCAACTAAATTTTCTCTAGGAACACATCTAAACAGTAGAACTGAAGCGCGAGCTACGACATAATTTGCGAAGACCTTTTGACTATGTTCAGGATAATTAAGTTCATCTTATGAACTCCCACTTAGATAGACATCCCTCTAGTCATCTTAAGTGATTACATGATCCGAGTCAACTAGGCCGTGTCCGATCATCACGTGAGACGGACTAGTCAACATCGGTGAACATCTTCATGTTGATCGTATCTTCTATACGACTCATGTTCGACCTTTCGGTCTTCTGTGTTCCGAGGCCATGTCTGTACATGCTAGGCTCGTCAAGTCAACCTAAGTGTTTGCATGTGTAAATCTGTCTTACACCCGTTGTATGTGAACGTTGGAATCTATCACACCCGATCATCACGTGGTGCTTCGAAACAACGAACTGTCGCAACGGTGCACAGTTAGGGGGAACACTTTCTTGAAATTATTATGAGGGATCATCTTATTTACTACCGTC